TTAGGAGTGTTAATCCGTCCCAGTCGGTCCTGAGAAGATTTAACAAATTACTAGTTCTAGAGAAGTATAATCGTTTACTTCCAATAAGTAACCTACCTTGAAAAATGCTGAGAAGTTTTATTAATAAAAACCGGCAATCTTTTAAAAAAGTTATTAATAACCATGTGAATATTTTTACAATCTGCCCAATACTGCAATAACGGTATTATTGTGAAGCAGATACGGAAACAATAGCATAATAATTTTATATAAATAAATCTTTCTTTACGTTTTTTTTTTTAACAAATTAAAAAATGGAAGATATTATCAACTTAACGATTGGAGAAAAAAATTTTACAATATCCAAATCAATTATTGCTAAAAAACCTGGTTCATATTTAGGGACCATGTTTGCAGACAGAAACAAAAGTTTATTAAAACCTAAAAAAAAAACTTATAGATGGAAAAGAGATAGAAATTCATGAAATTAATGATAGAAATGCATATATATTTGAAAATTTCGTTTTACCATACTACGAAAAGAATATTTTACCAAAATATTCTTATCAAGAATCATTCACAAAAAAAGAATTTATTGACGAAATTTCTTTTTGGAATATTAACACAGAAACACTTATTGAAAGATGTGTTTCAACGATAGCTATTAGAATTGGAACATTAATTGATCTTCTACTAGAAGATATTGAAAAAAAATTAATTCAATTTATAAATGAATTCGATTATTGCTTCTGGTATAATCGTAAAAAAATTTGGTCAACTGAATTATCAGAACTATTAAGTTCCGCTAATGGATTTGTATTTGAATTAATGGAACATTACGGTGATGAAATATGTAAAAAAATCAAACATATTCTTAATATAGATTGTGAAGTTAAAATTAAACTTAAAATTCGTACTGAAAGATATCTCGATAATAAGTATTTTTGTTTAAATATAAAAATTAACAAAGATATCTTAAAATCCGAAGTTATAAAAAAACTTGAATCTGATTATCTTTGGAAATATTTTTATTAAATTCAATTTTTTTAAAATATTTGTTTATTGAATATAAGAAATAATAATTTAATAAAAATATTAATTTTTCGCGTTCGCGTCTTTAAAAATTATTTCAAAATAAATTCTTATTAACTCAATCTTTTCTATTGGTAATTGTAATCATCGACCAAGTTCGACAAGTTTGCTGATTTATCAACTAAGTTATTTAGAGGGATGCATTTCCGATTATCTGTGATTTTTTGTGGTTTAATAAATAAAAAAAATGTATTATACAAAGTAGAGCATCATTTATTACGGGTAGGTAGAATATTTTCATGTTTTAATATGAAATTCACATTACTGTATACAACTTTTAATACGGATAAAAAATGCGTACGGACTTCTATTTTCATAGTATATTACATCAGATACTGTAGTATTAATCCTTTTACTCAAACTTGCAACGACAGTTAATTG